CCCCAAAACCCCAAAACCCCAAAACCCCAAAACCCCAAAACCCCAAAACCCCTGACGAAAAAGTAATTGTTGAATTTTTTAGAGGTTAAATCCCTGGTGCTTCCATTTCTCTTTCGCTATTCTTGATCGCGAAGTATTGAGAGACCGCTGAGTGAGCTGCCATTTTCACTTCTGATTGCATTTCTTTCTTGTAGTATCTATCAATTTTAATCTAGAGTCTTACCTTCTGTATAAGAGGAGAAGAATAAGATTACAAGCAAGGATAGCAGCAACTATGAAAACCATTCTATAATATTAGTAGAATTTAATACGTTCTGAGGCTAATTCCATTGCCTGCATGTGAGTTTGCATCCATAATTGACTTGCACTCCTTCGGATGCTTCTTGAAACCTTCACAGATTGCTTGGAAGATATTATCTGGAGTTAAGAATCCTCTGTAAGTGACATTGTTGATAATAATTGCTGGGAAGAAATGAGGTCCATTGTTCTTCCAATCTTCTTTCTCTCTTTGCAGCATTGAATTTTTGGCGATTGTGTGATCTGATCCAAAGAATGAATCATTTACGCACTCCTCAATCTCTTCAAAATTTATATCGAGAGACTCTATTCCTCTTTTTGAGCAGTCTCTGTTTATGTCTTGTCTGCAGTTTGCATGAACATAGTACATATAGTCCCACCAGAGGCCTTCTTTATCTAGATATTTGTTTAGATTTTTCACTAAGATCGAAAATTGGAGATAACAGGTGTTAAACTTACTTTGTTTCTGGAGTTTATTGTGTAAACATTTCTCTCTCAGGTCTTCATACAATATCTCTTGTCCATTGTTGAGAGGATTTTCAGGATGATAAGCACAGTATTTCCCATCTCCAAAGCAATGAAGCCCTTTGAGTTCTTGGTCACACTCTGGACAACCCCATACTACAAATCTTGGAGTAAAGAGAACATCCTTTTTGAATTCAGAGTGGTGTTCTTGGAAGTCTACGAGGAAGTCGATAGCTTGATCATTAGAGCTACTATACCAAAGCTCATATTCGACTCTATTATCTGGATGAGGGAGCTCGAAAGTTGCAAGAAGAGAGATTCAGTCAATATCCTCGCTTTCTGAGCAAATAGCTAATTGGTTTTCTACAGTATTATAACAAATGCTTTACTCAGAATCTTTCCATCTCTCTTGCTAATGAGCATTGAGGGTATATTGATGCCTGCACCTGTACCATCATCGACCATAATGATATGGTCCATCATTTCACCTTCTTTGTCATCTATGATGACAGCAAGGGCCCCTCCAGCATGCTCAACATTCCTCACCTTCTTTACAAAGGAACAGCCACCTCTTTCTACAAGAATTATTGGAGAAGGGATGTTGTCTGGGTCCTTCTCTCCAGTCACTTCAAGTTCAGTGAATTCTTCGCAACCAGAAGACTCATTTACATTGTAGAACACATTGCCTAGAAGCTAAGTGATGGAGGTTTAGGGTATTAGTTTTTCTTAGGCTAAGAAATTAGAAAGCAATTCTGCAATAAATTAGTAATTTTGATATATTCTTTCATTTGAAATCCACAAATGGCTTTTACAAAATTAAACAGAACATTTCTCAATAAAACTTCTATAGATCTTAATCTCAAATTTTATACCCCTGATCGACCCTCTCCTTCCTAGAACACCACTTAAAGCCCACTCCAACTCCTTTAACTTACCAATAATAGAATGCCCATACGGCGTATGTCCAAAATTAGCCAAGGATGCTTCAATAGTCCCATCTTCCTCTTTCCCAAACTTTGTCTTAAGTCTCTTCGGATTATAAACTACTCTAAATCTTACTCAACCTTACCTATCAACTTCGAAAATCCCATCACTAGTAAGCAACTGAGGATAATAGATATTCTCATTTTTAATAAATTTAGAAAATTTATTTATTTTTCTGGAATTTGGGGTTTTGGGGTTTTGGGGTTTTGGGGTTTTGGGG